CTCCTCTTTTATTTACTGTTAATTGTCGTGGTTTTTTTTTTCGTCTTCTAAACATCTAGAAATAAAATTTGGCCATTATCCTACTACATCATGCAAAACATGACGATATATCGATATTTAACACGCGATATATGTATATTGATACTGTTTAAAAATATCAATTCAATAAATATATATCCTTTTTTAACTTGCCCAGTCTTACAACTGAGTAAGGGCGTAAAATTAGTGTAGTATAATAACTGATGACCCCAATTAGGGGCCATGCCTGCCCAGCATTCAGCTCCTTAATTCAGGGTAGTGTAATAGGCACGTACTAATAAGAGTACTAACATAGTAATAGGGGCATTTGGGAATCACAACAGACCAAAGACTTCACCTAGATAGACATACAACAAAACACTATTACTCCTAGTATAATACTACGTCTACGAATAATCACCACAATCACAGATTAATAGGGTTGATCCAGGTTGGTTAAAGTATTTTGTCTGTGTTTTGTATATTGTTTTTACACTACATCAATATCAATCAATAAAACTACAATAGAATGTATGGGATTGAGTCAAATGGAATGGAGAGGCAGTTATTTGCTTTTATTAAAACTGGTTTTAAGCCATTTTAAACGTAAAGATATATTATTTTGTAGAGTGTAGACTAATTACTTTTAATGTTGACCTATAAAATATAATATAATAGGTATATACTCTGTGATGCGATACATATTTAATATTTGGGTTGGTTTTGGCGGGAACTTGGCCGACGACGGACTGTCGCTCCTATTTTGTCGCTTGAATAATGGTTTGAAGTGGATTTTAATTCGTAAAAATGATGTGATTTTGTGAATTAAGTGTGAATTATTAGAGAAAACGACGAAACAAGTGCTTTGATGTTGATATAATCCTCGAGTTAATTTGATCGCTTGGGCGCCTTTTGAACTTGAGTGGCTATCATCAACAGTCCGCTGGGTTGAGCTGTCGTCAAAATCTCCCAAAAACTTCGCAATATTACGCTTAAGCATATTGTGAAAAAAATGAAGACTCTCAAAGAAATGATAGGCTCAGAAGGGCTAGTACCCAGAGCCTTAAAGCCAGGTAAAAATAAGGATATTTGGGAGTTTTTGGTAGCTTGCTACATATTTATTTATCTATGGTTTTTGGCGGGAACTTGGCCGTCGACGGATTGTCGCTCCTGTTTTGTAGCTTGAATAATGATTTGAAGTGGGTTTTAATTCGTAAAAGTGATGCTATTTTGTGAATTAAGTGCCTGCGCGTGTGAACTATTAGAGTAAACGACGATCGAAACGATTTAATCCTCAAGTTAATTTGATCGCTTGGGCGCCTTATGGACTTGAGTGGCTGTCATCATCAACAGTCCGCTAGGTTGAGCTGTCGTCAAAATCTCCCAAAAACTACGTAATGTGACGCATCAGCATGTTGTGAAAAAAATTATATAAAATGAAGTTCCTGAAAGAAATAATAGGCTCAGAAAGGCTAGAACCCAGATCCGTACAGCCAGGTAAAAATTGATATTTGGGATAGTCACGTAAAGTATGGAGTGTAGAAGTAAGGAGTACTAACTCCCATAGTAGAATAGTTGAAAAAGTGGCCATCTATAAGCAGGAAATAACAGTTCAAAAACTCTCCACAACAGCGCTGGAGTAGCTACAGGGATGAAATGAACTTAACAGTGGTCGACGGTTTAAGTGTGCTGATAAACTGCTCAGTAGCTCTAATATCTAAAATAATTTTATTTATAGTCAACCAAATCTAAGAAATACCTTTTGACGTTTCACATTAATCATTCCGCAATAACTTTGCGCAAGCGTACTCATACGATTTACAATAACCTTTTACCTAAATCCGAAGAATTATGAGGTTATCTTTATTTAATTATAACGTGTTGAGTTTTTTATCGCTAATTTTAATTCTTTAAACAAAGCAAAATAAAAAATCATTGTCTTTTTTTCTTGACGTCGTTTTAATGATATATCGCTGTGTGCTTTACCGTAGTGTTTGGATGATTAAAATTCATTGATATGCGAATAATCGGCAAAAATATTCAAATAATCGTTAAAAATATTTAAATAATCGAATCATTATTTTTTAATGTATTATTCGTTTAACAAAAAAAATTTATTACATATCATGAATAAAACAAGTTTTTTTTTACTTTGTCAACGTAAAGGACAATGGTGAACTCCCAAATAAATTTTAATTGACCTTTTTTCTTGCGTATACAAATGCAAAATATGTAAAAATATGGTTTAAAATCCTGAACATTATTTTCTTCGGTCATACTACTGCAGGAAGTCGGGAATTAGAGATACTCCAGTTTAAACAAAAAACAAAATAAAAGTTTGATGTAGACTAGGCTGTATGGTATAAAACGCCTTAACAAGAACTAGTCAATATAATTTTCATATATGTTTATATAGGGTAGTTACTAGCATAGAGGGAATCCTTAAAGAACGCATTAGTATATATAGAAGAGTTTTTTGAATAAAATACACGTCAAACTCGGCAGTATGTTATAAGATCTTTGTCTGTCTTAATTCCATGAATCGTAATAACTACAACAACTATAAGAATTATTTTATAAAGTATAACTGTATAAGAACAGATTACGATACTGTTATTGCCTGTTATTGTTAGCACAGCACTACAAATATAAAGCGCTGACATAATCTTTTAATATCGCAGTATAGATTTAGAAAAATATTGTTTACCAAGTTATTTGACACTCAGTTTGGCACAAAATTATAACATTCATTGATTATTGATATAATAATGTTGTTTTAATGCTCATCAATTGTTAAAACGGTAAACAAACAGCAAAAATATTTTTATCCTAACTGCAACGCCATTACAAAGTTACGTCGTCAGTTCAATCGCGACGTGTCAGGAACGCAAACTCTGAACGGCCGAACTATAAAATCAAACTATAAAGTCAATTAAGTTTTGTTTTTATTTTTTGATTAGCCCATAAGTTTTATTGATATCTGTAATGGTGACTAAAGTAGACGCTTAATAATTCCATCACCTATTATTTCGCCATTGTCCTTTGTGTAGGCAAAAAAACTCATATCATACACAAGGCCGCGCTGAAAAAACCACTACGTAATTTCAATCTCCCACCATTTCGGGAGTTTACTCTGCGTAATTTTGTGATTTTGTGTTTGTCTTCTTATTTTGTGACTTGGTTTTAACTTTTTGGACTGTTTCTTCTATATTCGTTGAAGCATTTGCCCATGTTAAAAACGTTGATTGGGCAAAAGTGGTAGAAAAAACAAAAAAAAAGATTATGGATGACTTTGAGAGACTTTTGACTACATTATTGAAATCAAATAATAATTAATCTAAACAACGACAGCTCAAGTAGTTGTACTGAAAGTGATTGAATAAATTTATATTTAATCTAGTTTCAATCTAAAATGTTTATAATTATGCCTTATGCAATAAATGATAGAGAAGTACTCTAAATAATCGATATCGATTTTTTGAAGAATCGAATATTGTACTTTCCCATTTTTTTGGTTGGCATGCTTGGTGCAATAAGTCTGACAGCTGTCAAAATGTATTTCTTAGATTTGGTGTACTATAGTAACCTCGAAAAAGTCATCTATCCCACTAATATTTTTCGGTGCGTTCTTTAAAATTTACCCCGTAGTTATAGTGGCGCCACCCTCATTTAACGGTTTTCTATGGACACTTTTTAATACACAGTCTGTACTCCTTACTTCTACACTCCATAACGTAAAGTTTATTATTAAGCCCACAGACTAACTCATGAAGGTTAGAGAACCTTCATGGACTAACTAATAGATTCTACCAAATGATTAAACCCAAGCTTTAATACATTAAATAATATGTACCAGGTAGACTGACTTTTATAAAAATTGTTGGATATATTTATGCAAACGCAGACCACTTTCAAAATATTTAAAAAATCCTAATAACTATGCTAATGCTTGATGGAACTCTGTTCAAAACGAAATCATTTCTATACATTATAATATAGTGTGATAAAAAATATGATGTTTTTTTCAAAGAAAATGCATTTGATCAATGACTACTATAACATTTCTATTATACAACATTTCTCTAAAAATCGTAGACAGAGAAACTTATAGACAAATTGACTCCTTCTTTCGCATTCGCACACGAAAAAGATAGATTTATGCAAACGTCTTGCATAGAAATGAGACAGAGCGGTGTGATTATTTGTCCCTATCTCCGTGCCGGTTTCTCTGTTTACGATAAAAATCTAATCCAAAGACTGGTAGTTTGGTACCTGGTATAGGTTAGGGAGGGCTTGAGTGGTATCATTCATAATTTATATGCTCTGTGGTAAGATAGGAATTTCATAAAAAGAAAACTGAATCTGAGGATGTGTGTGTTTGTAAAAGACTACATGCACAAACATTCACAGAGTTCACTTGTAATACATTTATACTTTATACGAGTATGTACATTATACTTATACAACTACATGCACAATGCAAATGCACATTAATCAACACAGATAGATTATATTATAATTACAAATAATATTATTTCTCCAGTTTCCAAGTTTCATAATGGAGAAAAGTAAATATATATGTATGGCAGGCCTATCTTAAAATAATTTTTCTTTACATTAATTTTACTTGTCGAAATAATATTTGGTACAATAGGTTGTCGGTGTTATTTACAAACTAGGAAATTAAAATAAAATCTGTACAATTTAATTAAATATTATTTTTTAATACTTTAAGAGTATATAATTTGCTTAAGGACTGCAATTTTAAATTGTATTTACTTTGGATTAAAAAAAAACTAAATGTTAATCACAGTTTGTGTTAATTAGTCTTTCAGAGTTCGAAGAAATTAGATAAAAAATGAATAAATGGGTAGTTTATACTAATATTAGAGGAACCTCATTGCTTATTACAGGAATGTATCTGCGCTAGCTAGTATACAATTTATAAAGTTGTATATATTTTAATTACGGTATAATAAAGCATGCGGGGGGCGAGGCGGTGCGGCGCGCTCTCATATTCCGTATATTGATTGTGTGCGAGGGGGCCGGGGCAAGGAGGGGGCCACGGCGTGCCCCACTCTGTTTTTTACGACACGGCTTTCTGTGTAACATAATAAGTATTTTAAAATTTTTGTGAAATGTTTCGGTGTTATTTGTGAAAATTCGGGAAGTCGGAAAAGCGTAATCAAGGTGAGAAAATTGCATTAGGAGGGTTTTTGTTAAAATATTCGTTTTATAAATTATAATATAAATAAAATTTTATAGTTCTAAATTCCGTCGGCGGCGCGTACCTACAGTATTACACTGTCATACCGCGTACGTATAGTGTTTTTTACGGGCATCGTTCTAAAAATAAGTTGTAATAATTATAATTTTATGTAGCGGTCGCAGCAGAGATGGTTTTCTGACGATTTTTTATTTAACTTCAAGTAGTGAGTGATTTGTGGTTGATAAAGTGTTTGTGGTGGTGCAGATGCAGGGGCTGGTGAGCGACAAGACGTTCCATTTGAAATGGAACAACCACCTGCAGAACTTGAGCCAGCTGTTCACAACCATCTATTCATCGTCGGCGCTCGCGGACGTCACGCTCTCCTGCCGCGATGGCACCCTCAAAGCACACAAGCTTGTGCTCTCGGCATGCAGCCCTTATTTCGAGCAGATTTTCAAGTAAGTACATTAGTTTCTTCATTCTCCATACTTAAAAATTATATTCATTCTGCGATAAATTTCAATACATTGTGATTATACATTCATAGGGATAAATTTTCAAAATTAAATATTTTAGAAAATAATAATTATTTTCATGTTTTTATTTTATCGTTAACAAATTTCTAAGTTAGTAAGTATATAACACAAGGAATCACTTTAAAGTTTTTATTCAATTAAAAATTGTTTGTTTTAAATTTCATATACTCTTTTTTCTCTCCTAGGGATAACCCCTGTCAGCACCCTATAGTGATCCTGAAGGGAATACCATTTTCAGAAATAAATCTGCTTGTCGAATTCATGTATAAAGGTTCGGTGGATGTGCAAGAGTTAGACCTTCAATCACTGATGCACACAGCATCAGAACTAGAAATCAGAGGCCTAGCTTATGAGGCCCGAGATAATGCAGCGCAGTTATTAAATGTAAATTTGGAGTACCCTACATACTCGCAGACTGTTGTGCCCACACAGCAGACATTCACGCAAGCACGCACAGATGTAGAAAGGCTTAAACAGGTGAGTTTAATATTGTTGTTAAAATTATATTTTTGGAATACATTTTTACATCAATATTTGCCAATGTTGCATCCACATTTTATCCTTCAAACTTGTAAATTAAAAAAAATCGTCCTAATCATCATTACATTTCATTATATGTCCACTGTTGAAGTGAAGAAAAATGTCATTAGAAAACCTGTATGTCTAAAAAAAATAAAAAATATTTCGAAGACATGTGATGTTTACGAACAGGCATTGGGGCAGCATGGCAAACACACCCTAAAACCCTTTGAGAAATGAGATGAGGCCTGTTATGTATAAGTGGGACATATATATGCTGTAATTAACTTACTAGATTTAACATGTCCACTGATGAATGTAAGTTTCCTCCATAGATTGCACTTGACACAATTCTGAGCTACCTCCGTTCGTCAACTTCCTACTTGTTTCACGAGGTCATAACTCCTACTTGGATAATGCCCAACACTGATCTTGCCAGTGCAAGGTTAAGACCACTTAAGAACCTTTCTTTGTCATCAGCTCAGTACCACTTCAGCTGATCCATTGGGCAATGTAATTTTCTCTTGTTCTTGTAATTGTTTCTATGATGAATTTTGTGTCATGTTAAACAAAAATAAGCCATGTAGTAAGTTTTAAAATAAAAAACAATGTGTAACTGATTACTATTATTTTACACTATATCTTTAATGAAGCCTTCACAAAAGGGGCTTTTAATGTAATTTATATTTTTAGATAATTGAATTGTCATAGCCTAAGAAATTTGTGCTAATACATATTGTATAGAAAAATTAAGTATGTGGTTAAAACATAAATAAACATTACATTAACCCTTCTTTGACAGTCGGGTAAAAAATACATGAATAAATTTACCAGGTTTCATAACTTTTAAGCTTATTAGCTACCATTTTAGTTCCTAAATTTTGTTTGTTGTTATTAATTTATTATCTAAAAATACATTTAAATAAACAGAATTTTCTGACTTCTCTTGATAACTGCAAAAACTTAAAATATAAATATTCCCGGCTCCATGGCGCAAGAGCTTAGCAATGAGTAACAGCGCTAGGGGCTGTGGGTTTAAATCCTCCAACGAACAAGTATTTGTATGGCCTACAAATAATTGTTCTGGGTCTGGATGTTTGTCCTTGTGCAGTTTATGTTTGTAAACTGCTTCCACGATACAGGAGAAAATCCTAGTTTGGGAGTAATGTTTTTTTACATACTTGTGTTAAGAATAGGTCTTGGCTATGGTCTAATGATCGATTTAAATCCAAAGCCTTTCAGTTCACAGTGCGCACCCTATTAGTTACGGTTTCTTTCTTTTTTTATCTTTATATGTGTAAAAATTTTGTGCATTTGTGAAACTTGATTGATTTAGGCCTCATTTACCCTATATATATCTTTGTTGTGTTGAGAAAATGGGTCATAACTATGTTGGGATTAGGTGGCGCTGTAGTCAATTTATTTATTAATTAATTTTGTGTTGGTCGACCAAAATAACTTATATTCACAACATAGATGTTGTTTTAATTTTAAGAAAGAAAATCACAAAATCTGGACCCATACGGTGCCTCTGTGTAGTTGTAATATTATATATAATTTTGTAATTACTCTGCAATAAATTATAGTTTAAAAAAAATTAAAGAAACATGCTAAAGATAAAATTATTTTATGCCGGTGATCTTGATTATGATACTAGGATAAAGTTATATTATGTAAATTTTCAAGTCAGTCATACATGAAGCCACATGTTAGAAAAGCTGGGAGTAAATTAAGAGTGCAATTCATCACACCACCTACCGGATTAACTTCTGTTGGACCTGGCCAGCTAGTGCCAACGTATATCTTAAATTTCATAATTTATCTTCGTATGAATTTTCATGCATAATCATATTGCTCTATATTTGTCTTCTCATGGTTATTTCTTGTCTCCGAGTGTTACGTATGTTATGACTTCAACTTCTGTTACTAATCTTTTTGCCTAGCCTACTAAACATGGTGTCATGATAATTGTGGAAGTCTATTGTGATTGTCGTACACGTTTGATGAATTGGTTGCAACATTAAAGAAAACTTGTCTTGGAATATACAGGTAAATTTTACCAAGCTTGTATTAGTATGTAAGCAGCAGGCTCGGTGAAAATAGAATTAGCCGTTCCCTAACTTGAAATTTCCTGGGATCTCGCAAAACACTCATGTGCAAACCTGGGATAGCATGCCAAGAGGACAGATATATAATTTGTCCTAAATTTGATAAACTAAACATGTAGGCAGGCATACCTTTATGATTATTAAATTGCTTGAATCTTATTTTCAATAATGATTACAATTGGTTCATATAAATTCATTCATGAAGTTACATTTATACAATTGACAGTGCCTCATTTCAAATCATTTAAAAATACAATATTTATTTTCGTGATACCAAAAAATGTGATTTAAACCACATTATTTCTTCTAAAACTATGAGTAAAATTTTTGTGTGAATAAAGACAAAACCAGAGACAAAGTCTACACTCCACACTCATATACTGCATATTAAAAAAAACTATCTAAGAAACCAATCTCAAATTATAATCAGATCTAATTTAAATTTATGCGGGAGGATAAGTAAAAAAAAATCGATATACAGTGGCGGCTTCAGATAATCTACTACCAGACGGTAACTGAAACAGGAGATGAGCAGCAGCAGTTTTCTGATAATCTTAATATATATAAATTACGTGTCATGTTGTTAGTCCGCAATGGACTCACTAAACTACTTAACCGATTTTAATCAAATTTACACACCGTGTGCAGTTTGTTCCAACTTGAGAGATAGGATAGTTTTTTTGCCCATGAGTTACCCATAATTTTTTTTTGCGAATTGAAGGATTTTTAATAGGACATGACAAATGGGTCATCGAAAAGGGCAGAACAACGTCTGCCTGGCAAGTTAGTAACTCAATATAATAAAATCTATGCTCGTCAACCTGCCAAGCAAGTTATGCTATGGTAAATAATACTAACAGTATTCGTAGGGGGTATCCCCTTATTAGCCACTATGTGAGGCTTTCCTTCAGCAGTGGACTGTTGCAGCAGGCTGTAACTAATTATGAACTGTGAAAAAAATCAGTCATTTAACTAGTGTTGAACATAATGCATTACATCTATTAAAGAAATAAACAGTTGAATTAAAAACTCCTTTTATAGTTATTTAAAAATATTTACATTCTGCTCACACATGGACCACCACAGTTCAATTCTATTTTTATTGTCCCTTATTAATATTAATTGTTTTAACCTAATCTCTGGATAAACTGTTTTTAAATTTAATTTAATCAATATAAATAAACTTAACCCTAAAACAATTAATTTCAGAATTGTTATTTAATTTACTTCATTTACACAACTTATCTCTTTATTAATTTCTGACTATATTAAGTACAAAAACGAGTGATATAATTTAGGCATACAATGTGAGTCACAATGAAACAATTCCAGAACAAGATTAGAGTGATATATTTCAACTATTTTCTTCTATTTATGTCAGCATTATTATTGTTTCGTATTTGTATGTTTTACGACGTTGTCGGCTTGGTCAGCGTTCACGTCTGATGAATCGTGAATCCAAGATCAAATCTTAATTGAAGTTATTGTTTGTACAGAAATACAGTTATTGGTTTTTAGATTTAATAGTGACTTAGAAGAATTTAACGCCAATTTTTATTATACAAGCGCAATATCTATCTTTGTGGTGAAGGATAACATATGAGAAATAAAAAAAAATATTTCGAATACATGTGAAGTCCGCCAACACGCATTGGGGCAGCGCGGCAGGCACTTCCTTGCCCCAAAACTATCTCAGAAGTGAGAGGAGGCCTGTGCCCAGCTGTGGGACGTATATAAGCTGCCACTTTACTTTTAACAAGCGTAACACTACTTCAGAAAAACACACTTATTAATCTGGCCCGTTTTTACTGCATATCACAGTGCAAGTGACGGTTTTAGTTTAATTATGTGGCATTTTTTTCATTTGCCTGATTTTAAACAATATTATTTGTAGAGCTATGGTAGCTCAGGCACAGGGCGCCAGAGCTACTGTAGCTCCGCCTTTCACAGATTTGACAGTTATTTACAGTGTTATCTTCAAGCCACAGAATACAGTTACAGATTGGATTATTCATTATAATTTTATTATCGTACATACCAATTCACCAATTTTGGGTGGTTTAGAAAAAAAAAACATCGTAAGGACAAAACTAAAATGTCGCCCCCAGACAGCACCTCCTAGTATAATAAATAGTCGGTATAATTACTAATAACAGGCTGAAAATGCACTTGTAGATTTGTATGAAGTTGGTGTCCAAGGGATACAGTAGCCTCTTACCAACGTTTGTCATTTCAGTTTTATTAAAAAAAAAACTGCATAAATGAAAAAAAAAAATTGGAAAGTGTCTTCCGTCTCGATCTCTTAAAGGAGAGTACAGTTTCCAGCTTATTAAGGCTATGTTATTTTCGTGTGTTATATTCTTTAAAACACGTTCTATGAAATCTTAAATGAAGATGATGATAAATAAACGTGTAATTAGAAAGCCTTATCCTACATAGGTATTTTTTATAGAATATGGGTGACAAACGTGCACTCAGCGCACTTAGCGTTGCCAAGCTTTTTGGTTGCGTGCCCGGCCAAATTAGACGGTGTCCGGCCTGTCCGGCTTTTATTAGGCTTTTTAAATTTGACCGTTTTTTATATTTTTCATATATTATATTAAAATTAATATTGTAATGAATATTGAATGATTTATAATAAAGAAGACGGATTTATTTAATTTTATTGTTATTTCATTAGAATTTAAACAGACTTTTAGTGGTTAGGTGGTGGGTCTAGGTGATATAAAGCATTATTTTAATTTAAAAATATTGTCATGTTATACTAAGAAAAAGTTAAGGATGTACGGTCACCTTACCAAAATGTCCGCCTGAGCTCGATGGTCTGTCCGGCTTTTCGATTTTAAAAAC